ATCCACTAGTACTCACACAAGCACCTCTCACGCAAATGTGAATTGTGCTTTTTGAATTTTTCTCAGTGTGGTCTTTGTAGCATCCGAGATCCGCACTGTTCACGCCCGTTGTGTTAAATTCCAGTATTATGTTGAGAGTCAGGTCGTGTGTTTGGCACGCGCAGTCGGACTATCTGTCTTTCTGCCATTGCGCTCCTTTTCAGCATTATTGGCGTGGACTGGGGCCTGAGCGATCGAAAAGAGTAAAGTCGATAGCACTTAGCGCATATTACTAATTCTAAATAAGCCGACGCACTTGAATTTATCGCGGTATGCTAAAAGCCGCGATTTGGGAAGTTGACAGTTGACAGGACAGTTCAGCCCTCGTCTCAGAACAAAGAGTCAAACTGCAACGTCTCCTTCCTAATATGGCCTTTACGACACTCACTTTTGTGAGATCAAAGCCGTCCCTATCTTTTTGTTGTGTGAAATCCTGACCCCTAGGGTGCGGTCCATGGGTTTACGTCGTGTAAGTCACCTGCGCCCGATTCCACCTCAAGTGTTTTAACTCTACCATGACAATGGGCCCAAGTAGATGAGTCTTCAATACCTGTTCTCACCTAATAGCACTGTACTTGTCTACGCCGATGGAAGCAGTAGCGCGGTCCAATGAGATCAAATAGTCTTTTGAATATAATAATCTCTAAGAGATTGAATTTATGATCTGGTAAATCTTTTTCTGACAACATTTCCTAGAACCGACGTACTTCGAAGCTACGAACCCTGTCTGCCAGTTATGGAAAAGGAAAACCGGTCAGCGAGCAACATGCTGAGTAAAACGAGCGTTCAGTGGAAGTAGAACAGTGTTAGAATAAACTGTACATGTCCTGCAAAGACAGCAATTGTGGAAACCGGTGGCTGTTTATCGAATACGTCGCTTTTTTGTTTTCGTTGACACCCAACCCTCATCATCTTCCTCGGGACTTTCGTCCTCGCGAAGCTTTTCTTTGAAGTAATCCTGCAGGTATTGTTCCGACTGCCTTTTCAGTGAGACTGGATCCTTGAGCCAGGATTTTTTACTGTCAGTTAAGACATCTAAAAATGAAAAAGGCGAGCTCAGTAGCATACTCTGGGGAATTTTAGCTTTGTTTAGTAATCATCATGTCCTAAAATTTGGCAAGAAAGTCGTGTGTTCACAGACAGGCATGGCAACGATAAATGGTATGAAATAAGGCAATGAAGGTCAGTTTTGGTTTATTTGTCGTCATCAGCCAACCAAACCCTAAGGGATCGGTTACCGAGCCGCTTTTTTTAAATACGGCACAATTTTATTAAGTTGATTTTGGCAGATTTGGTTAATTTAGTTGACCCAATT